GGGCTGGCTGGTCCAGCAGATGGGGAGGCCTCTGCATCCGTCCCTCCCAGCCCTGGCATTATCCGATTTCTGCTGGTCTCAAGGTGTAAAGTGAACCCTTTTTGTTATTTTAACTTGTGGTTTTTGGACTGCAAATGCTTTCAAGTGTCTTTTCCTCTGCTTGGGGATGTCTTGGGCTTCCTCGTTTCTAAATTCACGCTGGTTTTCTATAAGGTTGATGTCTTTTGTGGAGCTACACATTTTCTCAATGGATTAAATTCTTACTTTGATTTTGTCATTTTAAAAATATGCTGACATCTGTGCCTTGTTTTCAGTCTCAAACTTTTGGCACGGTGTTAATCTTACTGCTGAAATATATTGAAGTCAACATATACTGAGTGTCTATTAGTCAGATGTTGTTCTATGTGCTTGTGGAGAAATTCAATCCTCCAGAAGATAGGTATTATTACTATTACTAATTCTATTACTATCATTACGCCCCCTGCTTCCAGATGTAGCAGCGAGGCACAGAGTGGCCTGTTCTTTGACAAGGTCAGTAGGGTGAGAAAAATCGTGCCCCGCTCCCAAGGATATCCACACCCTGGTCCCTGCAGCCCATGAAGGAGTTGGCTTACGAGGCAAAAGGGACTTGACAGGTATGATTCAGTTAAGGCTCTTAAATGAAGGAGGAGACCATCCTGCGCTATCTCGGTGGACCCAATGCAATCACAAGGGTCCTTATGAGGGAGGAGGGAAAGAGGAGGGTTGGAGCCAGAGAAGGAGATGTGGTGGGAGAGAGAATGGAAGACCAGAGGGTGGAAGATCCCATACGGCTGGCTTTAAGAAAAGGAGGGGGCTATGAGCAAGGAATGCAGGAGGCTTCTTGTAAACACTGGAAAAGGCCAGGGAAAAGACTCTCCCTGGAGCCCCCAGAAGGAGCACAGCACTGCTAACCCCTTGATGGTAGACTTGTGACCTTCAGAGCCTCCAAGTCTGTGGTAGCTTGTTACAGAGGTGACAGGAATCTCATGTAGCTACGCGACCGTGCGGGGCCCAACAGACGTAGTGCGGGGAGCTGGCCTGAGCTCATGGTGTCAGCGGGGGAAATGGCCCTGAGTGAGCAGTGAGTGTTCACAGGTCTCTCTTGGCTGCTGGACTCCGAGCCCTGGCCGGCACACCTGGGTGCCTCATCTCCGTCCCCTCCGCCTCATGCCCAGTGATGCTTGCTGACTGCCGGAAGGTGTGGACTGCTTGGCTAGGGCAGGTACTCTCAGCCCGGGCTGGGCCCGAGACCCGTAGAAGGTGCCCTGGGCTCCAGCCCTCCAGGAGTGATTCAGGGGCCTGGGGACAAGATGCAGTGCTTGAGAACCATTCACTTGGGAAGGCCACGGATCCAAGGCCTCCGTAAGTTTCTACCGTGAGGTCTCAGATTTTCCAATGGCTCCGTGGAAGATAAGGTATATTTTACCAAAAATAATTTTGAAGTCACCCTTTAGTTGAAGTGTATCTATTCCACACATTGAGGGTTTCTGCAAGGTCATGTGCGTGGGACCATCCATTCATTCACTCGTTTTGTGCCTACTGTGCAGCAGGCATCCAGACCTCTGGCTGTGGGCTGGCAGTGCTGAATCTGTCCTCCTGGGGCTTACTGTCTAGAAGGGAGATGGTCAACGCCAGGTACAAACTGACAAGGCAACGAACGGGGCAAGCACACAGTGTTCTGTGCAGAAGGAAAACCCAATTTCCTTTTGGGGGCTCAGGGAGAGTCTGTTGGAGTGGTTGGCATTCAAGTTATCCAGTGTCTGTGCTGTGCCAGGCACATAGTAGGGCCTCAAAGACCGTCTGTAAAACAAAACAGGCTGGGGGCCTGTAGGCCGTCAGGTGGCAATGTGTCCACCGTAGGCTGGCGCACGGTGGATCAGCCCTGGGGCCCTAGAGCCAGAGGACTGTGCGTGAGGCTTTGAATCTCATCTCAACCACTTACTAACTTGCGGCCTTGCTAAGTGTCTTTACCACTCAGCCTCATGTCCTCACCCACAAAATGGGGACGGTCACAGGGCCCACCAGGGCCACAGGACCTTTGTCAGGGATGACTATGGTGTGAGTAATTGGTGGGTGGCACTTCATTCCCCAAGGTGGGAAGAGTGGGAGGAGAGCAGAACCGATGGGGAAAACATGAAGAGCTTGGTTCTGGGCGGTTCTGGAGACAAGGCACATAGAAAAGAATGAAAAGACAATGAGAGGCTGGGGAAACTCTACAGCTTCCAGGATCCATGGCTTAGGGTATTAGTCCTCAGCCCCCACAAGTGTATGGGACAGGGTGGGAGGGGAGGACAGGATGCCACCCCTTATTTAGGGGTGGGGCTGTGACATGTTAAGAAGAGGAGCACCTAATTAAAACTGTGTCTTGATGTGGCCAGAAAAAAGGAGCAGGGTTATCCATTCACAAGAACACTTGGGAGGGAGGCAGGGACAGCTGTGTGTTTGGGACAGTCTTGTACTTTGTTGAGGGTACAGATCCCTTGGGACTGTGGAAGCCTCCAGAACTGTCTGGTTGGAAATTGGTCTGATGTCCTAGAGCAGAGGCTTCCTTCCCTGAGGTCCTGCAGAGGTGGTGCAGTCGGCTCTTTGGGAACCAGGCAGCTGCCCGGTTTCACCCCTCAGCCCCCCGCTTGCCCCAAGAGGACCCAGTGATCCCCCCAGTGGAGGGGTGGCTTTTCTTCTTTCTCCTCTTCTGCCACTCAAGGAGACCCGAAAGCCCTACGCTGTGAGATGCCACCAAGAAGAACCTTTGGCACCTGCCGCCAACAGTCCCTGCATTTCCGCCAAAGGGCCCTTCCCGGGTGTGGGGGTGGGAGTGCATGGTCAGAGGTCTCTGGGCCAGGGGGTTCCAGGAGCAAACTTGATTGATCCATTCATCTGTCAGTGGAGGTTCACACTCCCCCTCCCTCCCCCCCCACACTGCCCCCGCTCTGCACTGCTGCTTCCTTTCTCCTTCCCCTCCTGCTGTGCCTCCCTGCCCCTCCCCCTCTCTGTGTCCCCTCCTCCCTTTCCTTCTCTTCTCCCATCGACATCATCCCTTGGCTCCCCACCTGCTGGGCCATGAAGCACCAACATGGCAGGCGCCCCACCGGCTGCAGCAACACCAGGGTGTACGCTGTCCTCAAGGGGCTGACAGTCTAGGGGGGAATACAGACTAGGAGGGCCCTCAGAGGGGGCAGGCAGGAGTCGCCGGGGAAAATGAAAGACTGCTTGAACTGCTGTGGCCAGGAGGGTAAAGAAGAGTTGGACCGAGTGATGGGGTGGGAGACGGGCAGAGGGACGCTGCGGGTTGGGTGGGAGAGAGCAGCACCCAGGCATCGGGGAGCTGGGAGGCAGGGGGGGCAAAGCAGGGAGGTAAGGATGCGGCCTCCTCCTGAACCCATGGAGCAGCACTAACAGGGTGTAACAGCGGTGGAAACACCATCACATTGGCCTTTTGGAAAGAGGGGAGACAAATGCGGGGAGGGGTGGAGAGATGGCTGTGGAGAGCACCCTCGGAGGCCGGAGCTGACAGGGCAGGATTTAAAGAGGTGCCAGCTGGCAGCGTCATGAAGATGCAGGGATGGCATTAACTACTGTGCAGGGTCTGAGGGGTGAGAGGAATGGGCCGTGGAGGAGATAGACAGGAGCTCTTGTTTGCACCAGGCGGTGGATCCTGACTGCTTCCACTTGGTTTCTGGTACCCATGCTCGAGCCATGGGAAGAGCATTCTCAGGCTAGCCACTGGTCTCAGGAGGAGGAGTGACACATATGGTGCCAACCTGAATTCCATGGCCAAGATCAGCAGAGCCTCCTAGCTGAGTGCAGCCTGGATCGGCAGAACTTAGATAACCTATAGTTCATAAACGACTGTTGTTTCAGGCCACTAAGTTCTAGGGTGGTTTGTTATAGTGTTCTTTTGTGGCAATAGCTAACTGGTATCCTATCTATATGTGTATTTAAAAATCTGGAAGTCTGGGTGGTTGAATTTGGAATAATTTCTTCTTTATGTTATCCCTATTTATTTTAATGAGCATGCCTTAACTTTTATAATAAAAAAATGAACAGATTCACACTTTGGAATAATCTGGAGATAGCCTGGAAAAGAGATTCGTTGGGGAGGGACTGGAGGTCTGGAGGAACGAGGAATCCGAAGGTCTGGAGGAATGAGGGATCCATTCAGGAGGTTCCTGCAAGTTTTAGCAGGAACGCTGAAATCCTGAGCCCGGGCAGGACTGCCCCCTTCATGACTGCACCCCACGCCTGTGTACCCCCTCCACACCCTTCCTTTTGAAAGCCTAGTTTCCAAAGTGAGCAGTCTCACTGAAAAGAGATAATAAACCACATCCAGAAACTGATGACAGTTAGTGGCTTTTATCAGGAAACATCTTCAATTTAACAGGGACACGGAGCTATTCTCCAAAGATGGAAGCTTGGGGACTGGGAAGCTGGAAGATGTTTTTGGTCTGGGAGAGAAAGTGCTTTCTTACTCATTCTCACCCTATTGCACAGATTGAGGCTCCTACCTTCCCTACTACCCACACTGTACCCATGAGCTTCTGATGCTCCTCCAGCCATTAAAGAGCCCAGCACAAGGCACTCGGCTCTGGCACCAACTAGGTGGGGAGGGAGGGAAGGACATTGTAAGTCAGTACACACTGGGACGAGATTGCAGAAGTCACAACACACCTAAGCTTTTTGTGTCTGGAGCAAGGATATGAGATATAACATAACATAACATAACATAACATAACATAACATAACATAACAACATAACATAACATAACATAACATAACATAACATAACAACATAACATAACATAACATAACATAACATAACATAACATAACATAACATAACACAACACAACATAACATAACATAAAACATAACATAACATAATGTAATATGGTATAATACAATACACCAGGGCAAGAGGAACATGAGAGATCAAGATCCCAGAGAGAAGGGGACTCATGTTCTATAACTCTTTCCCTCGAGACATTTGCTGATTCCTAAGAAGTGTGAAGCAAGCAGCTGAGAAGCCAACAGAGAGTGACGGCTAACAGAACTATCAGCGTTCTCACGGAACTGGGGAGACAAAAAAAAAAATCAAGGCGACTAAGGCAACCAGGACTTGAGGGTCCAAGGTTCAGGAAAGAAAAGAGGCAAAGAGACACACAGCAGCTGCACCCCTCAAGCGATTTGCTAATTTGTAAGCCACCTGTGCTCAGGAGGATGAGAAACTGAGCAAAAAGTGGCTGCCAAGAGCCTGAGAAGGTAAGCAGATATTTTAGCAGTTTCTCAGTGCTGGAAGACAAGAATCGGTGTTCATAACCCACCAGGGAAGAGCGGTCTGATAAGCAACTGAGAATCTACTGGGAACCAACCCTACAGGGTTCTGCCCAAGGGAAAGAGTAAACTTGAAATAGACCAAGCCTTACAAAAACTGAAATACAGCCTTGAATCAGCTCCATCCCTAGGGAAAGAGTAAACTTGAAATAGACCAAGCCTTACAAAAACTGAAATACAGCCTTGAATCAGCTCCATCCCTATCTAAGCACCTGCCAAAATCTAAAGCAAATTCTGTCTGGAGGAAGATGAACATTATCCAGAGTCCTTGAACTTTTTACACACTGTCTGGCATTCAGTAAGAAATCACCAGGTCCACCAAGAAACAAAAGCAGAAGAAAAAAATGACAGTAGAAACAGACCCACAGATGATTAGAAACTAGAGTCGTCAGACCTGAAAACCACTATAAAAGTTATTCAAATTTCAAGAATAGAGGTGACAGTGGAGAATCTTTTTTTAAAATTTTTTTGAAAGATTTTATTTATTTGACAGAGTGAGAGACAGCCAGAGAGGGAACACAAGCAGGGGGAGCTGGAGAGGGAGAAGCAGGCTTCCCTCTGAGCAGGGAGCCCAACGCGGGGCTCAATCCCAGGACCCTGGGATCATGACCTGAGCCAAAGGCAGACGCTTAATGGCTGAGCCACCCAGACACCCCAGACAGTGGAGAATCTTTAACAGAGAACAGGAATTTATAAAAATGGATCAAATGAAAATTCTAGAGTTGAGAAACTCAATATGTAAAATTAAGAACTCAGTAGATGGGTTTAGTAGCTAATTGTTGGTAGCTGAAGATTAATGAGCTGGAAGACACCTTTGCATAAAATATCCAGAGAGAGAAAAGAGAATGGAAAACATAAGAGAAGAGTGCATGAGACACCTGGGAGGTGGTGAAGGTTGTAACATGTGGGATTAGAGTCCCACCAGAAGTCAGACAAAGCGACATCATGTGCCACCCAATGCCATGCATCAGAGGGGATGCTGGTGCCCTGCTCTCTGACTCTCAGTCCCCAGTACTGGAGAAAACAGACATCTGTGGGTTCAGCCCCCCAGTCTGTGGTATTTTGTTAGAGAAGCCTGAGCTAAGACACTCGTATTGAAAGGAAAACAGATGGTCCTTTTTTCCCTTGGGGAATTGCCTTTTGGAAGAGTTGCTTCCTGTATTCCAGCCACACTGGCCTGTGGGATTCTCCAACATCCCAAGCTCTTCCCTCTGCCTAGGAACAACTCCCCCAACCACGTGCATGGATCCTTCCTTCCTCTTTCGGGCCCCTGCTCAGGTGTCCCAAGACTGCTCATGACCACTTAAAACATCTGCCTTCCCTGTCACCTTGAACACCTTTCCTGCCGTATTTTTCTTCAAAGCACACTTCTCCCCTGACACATCCTGTATTTGTTTGTGATTAGCTCTCCTTGCAGGAATGAATTTCTATGACTGAGCAATCTGTTGTGTTCCTTGTTCTATCCCCAGTAGAGGCTTGATATATATTTGTTGAATGAATGAATGAATGAATGAATGGCACATTGGATGGCAGAGCAAAGGATGGGAAAGAGCCTGAGTCCTTGATGGCACCACGGAGCTGTGAATCTATCGGTCCTGGAGGTCGTTCAGCTCATTCCGTCATTGGGGGATCCCATTTGAGGTGGGAGTCTTTGTTACCGCCCCCCACTCCTTTTTCTTCCTTGAACACCCTACACTCACACTCAGCTTGCTGACCGCCTGCTTGGAGTGTGGGCTTTCCAACTCTCCTTGCAGTGGACACCTGCTGACCATTCTGACAGTTCCAAGTGGCCCTGCCTCCCTGACCACAACCTCTAAGGTAGCTCCCTCCCCACTGACCTGCTTATTCCCTCAGAACACATGCTATTATCTGAAATCCGTGCACTCATCTGCTTACTCGGCTGCTCTGTGTCCTCTGCCAGCCCCCATGCTCTCTAGAATGTGGTGAAACCCCATCAAACCTCTTCCCAGCAATTCCTCAGAGCCTAGAGGGGCTCCCGGCACACAGTCGATGCTCAGTAAATGTCGGTAAACACGTGGATCTCTGTTTTATAGAAAAGCAGACAAGCCCAGCGTGATTAAATGACATATCCCAAGTCACACTGTTAATATCGGGTTTAGCACCTGATGCCAGGACTTCCTTCATGGAACCTAACTGCTTCCCCAAAAAGACAAGAAAAAAAAAAGAGCAGGGAGAAAGAGGGTGAGGGAGCTCATAAGCTCCCGAAATTTAAAAAAAAAAAAAAAAATTGCGCAAATGTTTGGTTTGCTTGGTGCTGAGAAATGAATTGTAAAACTGTGTCCATTATATAAATTTCTTTCATAGTGATTTATGCTGAGGATTATGGAAATTTGCAGTACTGGGGTTGGAAGTTACCTTAAGATGCATCTAGTATAATCAGCAACTGGATGCTTTAATCTCTTCCCCAGCAGGCTGTGCGGGGAGGCATTCCTTGCTTTGAATCTGCCCTAGCGAGAAGATCAAGGCTGTTAAATTGTATCCAAAATAAAAATCAATACCTTAGAGTAGGAGCCTGAGGGGCCTCTCACAAGTTTTAGGCACAAACCTCAGGGTTTGGGTTCTGAGCATCTATTTTGAATATTCAGGGTCTGGTCTTTGCTATTTCCGGTTCTAGAGAATGTTCCAGAAGAGTGAGCGAGCTGATAATGGATCTCTGAAGAGGCCAGGTGTCTCTATGGGGTTGGCTTTGTCACTGAGCCCGGGTTTGTCTTTCTTCACATTGGGAAGAGTTGTTACGGCCCCCATCCTCACCGGGCCCTAGAGAAGGGACAATTGTCACTCTCTTCAGCCGGTCCTAGAGTCAGCCTGCCGTCGCGTCAGGAATAACTGGCACCAGGCAGTGGGAAGGCTTTCGCTGGCTTATGAGCTGCCCACAGTGACTAAGAAGCATGAAAATAGCAGCCGAAAATGTCACACCCACCTCCCACCTCTCCAAGAAAAAAACGAACCATTGGCCCAGGGGGATGCAGTCTGTGAGCAGAATGAAGAAGCAACAGTTTATTTGCGGCCAGAGGAGAGGCTTCTGGAATGAATGTGGCTGGTGACTATGTTTGTTGTCCGCCGACAAACAGGTCCCTCGCTGGATCTCCGTGAAGGGAGCCCCATCATTTCCACTTGGCGGGGGCTGGCACAAGTTACTGGCAGGTCACCCTATAAATAAAATACGCCACGCACAACCCATCAGCCTTCGGGCCCTCATTTCTCCAGAGAATATGATTCCTGCCTTCCATCGCAGATGTGAAATTTTGTAAGGAGTAAAGTGTCCATCAGTTTCCACCCATTTGCCGGGACAGCACCCCCTCCCCCGCCCGATCATGGACTGTTCTGTCTTTCTTGAGGTCCTTTCTGATGAAGGGGAATGGGGGGCCACCCTGTCACTCAGGGGGGCACTGAGCAGCTGTCCTTTGGTCCCTACCCCGCAATGGGAACTTACTGGCACTTGGTCTCTTGGGTCTGACTGCAGCATCACTTACTATCCTCATGGAGACCAAAGCACCTCCTCCTGCCAACCACAGCCAGGGTGCTCCTCAGGATAGGGCATCCTGACCAGCACCGATCTTAGTCAGAAAGGGTCAAGTACTGAGAAGTTGTAACTAAGGGATTCAGAGCAGAAAGAAGGTTAGCTGCTGTTTGCTCCACCGGCAGGGAAGGCAGACAGAGATCCTTATTTCCCCCCACCCTGCCCCCCACCCCGTGCAGAGATGAGACAGCTGAGCCCCGCGTGGTCACCCCGACTGCACCCTGCAGCCTAACTTCCCTCCTGGGGAAAACAGGAAGATTTGGGCTGGGCCCCAAACACTGCCTAGTAAACGGGGTTGTCATAAGGTTCTGGTCATTAGTAATAAGCCTTTCAAACCAGTCCTAGGAATCCATAGGAATGATCCAGAAGGAGGCAGAGGTTGTCTGGAGAGAAAATACAGCTCTTAACTAGATAGACAGGAGGGGACAGGAGTGGGGGTGGTGGAAATGGATACACACAGAACGGGAGTTAAGGACACTGGTGATGCTCTCTGGTCAGAGTGAGGACCTTGAGGCTGATGATGGCTAGTATTTACTTAGCTCTTAGTGTGTGTCAGGCATGCTCCAGGTGCCTTCCGGGGTTCACTCAGTTAGTCTGATTAATGACGACCCCATGATCTCTGTATCTGCTCTGATCCCCCTTCTGTCGACCAGGAAGCTGAAGCTCAGGGATCATTTCTGCTAGTAAGTGGCTGAGTCGTAGTAGAATGTGTGTGTGTGTGTGCGTGCACATGACAGAGAGCCTGTCACCATTTCTGATTTCCATCATTTCTTGATTTCCGTTTCTTGATTTCCTTCCCCTCTAAAACTGCAGTCTCCACAATGTAATTGATGGAAAAATGAATTTATTTCTTTTGGATTTACGGGTTTGATCAATAAAGGACTCCGGATCTTCTTAGGTTCTTTTGACTTTCATATTGCTGTACTCTTTGCTTCAGAGTTATAGGATTCATAAAACAAACAAACAAACAAACAAACAAAAACACCAAATCCAGCCCTAGAGATTCAGGATCTGATTTGGCAGTGACTTGGGAGAGCATCTTGCCCAGTGCCTCCCTCACTTGCAGCTTGGGGAAGCTGGGGAGGCCAACAGGAAGGAGGGGAGGTGGCAAGGCCAGCCTGTGGCCCAGCCAGAGCTAGACCCCCCGGCAGCTCTTCTGTGACCTCCCCGGGGGACCCCCCACTACCCCTCTCGCACTCCTCACCACTGACCCGCCCCTCCTGTGTAGAAACTGCTGTCTGGTCCATTGCTGATGATGCCTAAATTTATCCTAAATCCATCCCTGTCACTCAGACCTTTCCATGAATTCATGCTAGAGACCCTCATGAGGTCATCCCCTGGGCTCCAGCCCCACACAAACAGTGACTTCCCACCCAAAAGTGTCCCCTCATCCTGTGGCTCCCATGTGACCTGATTGCCCTTGATGGACACCCCAGCGTCACACTCCACACTTCTCTCTCCCCCCTTCTTCCCCTCCTCTGCCCTCCCACCACGTCCTCCATCCAGCGGCATCTGCTTCTCCGTGGTTCTCTCAAGTCCATCCACCTCTCCAAGCTGGGAGAGTTCCTCAAGCCTCACTATACATGTCCCCACCTTCGTGAAGCACTCCCCAGCCCACCCTTCCCACCAGGCTGGGGTTTCAGGCTCATCCTCTGGGCTGTCTCTGTCCCTGCACCTGGTCGGGGTCCTGGGGATGACGTGAGATACAGAGAGAGATTTGTAGAACATTTGACTCCCCCCCCACCCCATGCCACCCCCCCCAGGACTTGGCACCCATGTGGATAGGGGAGAGGGGGAGGCGGGGGCCACTCGGGTGCGGGTCTCTGACTCTGAGAACCAGGTGGGCAGGTGGCACCGCCATTCTTGGGTGCAGGACTCTTTCATAAGGACAAATTCCATCTGGACACCTGGATTTTGAAGGTCTGGGAGCACTCCAGTGTGAGATTTTCTGTTGACTGTTGGCATAGCATTCAGGTGCTTTCAAATCGTAGATTCAGAAGTCTCTGGTGATGTTAGACTTACAGAACCAGGAGATGATAGAACTTTATACGCAGTCGATGATAAAATCTTCATGTAATTCCAAAGAGCTCTAAATATACTCAAAACAACATGGATGAATCTCCCAGAAATTATGTCAAGTGAAAAAAACCAGGCGCAAACGAGTCTGGACTGTATTGTGTCATTGATGTAAAGTTCCCAGAACAGGCAAAGTAATCTCTTTTTTTTAAGTAAGCTCCACGCCCAGCGTGGAACCCAACACAGGGCTTGATCTCACGACCCTGAGATCATGACCTGAGCCGAGATCAAGAGTGGGAGGCTTAACCGCCTGAGCCACCCAGGTGCCCCCAGCAAACTAATCTTTAGGGATAGAAATCAGAGCAGTGGTTGCCTCTGCAGGAGTGGTGGGGTGAGGGGATTGAAGAAGCAGGAGGGAATCTTCTGGAGTGCCAGGAATGTTCTAGATCTTTATTGATCACATGGGTACATACACCTGTCAAAACTCAGAGACCTGTTCTCTTACGGTCTGTGTCTTTCACTGCATGTTGATAACTTGTATTTAAAAGATAAAGAAGAACAGCTCCAAGGACCCCCTCCCCTCTGTGTAAACATGTCCCATGAAGGGGAACCCAGTGCCTGCTTCGTAAGACACAGCCTGGGGACAGCAGGAGGACCCCGCTGGTATGTTCCCAAGGGGGCCTGGCCGGCTTCTCCTTTGCTGCCACCACCCGTCCAGTCTTCCAGGGGCCGGTGACCCAGGGCTACAGGGCGGCCGAAGGACTAACACTGTGATGGACAGGTGACCGGGGCTCGGGGTGGGGGGAGTGAAGCTCCCATGTAGGACTCTCGCTGTCAACAGCTTGCAGTATTTATAGGTTGCTGATGTCTTCCATGTGGTGATTCATCCCTTCTACTTAAATCTGTCAGTATCTTTAGAACACAAAGCAGGGCATTAAAAAACGCTCTGCAAATGGGGAGAGAAGGTGGGCTGACAGGCCTGGTGTTTACAACCCAGACCAGGAACCAGCAATTCAGAGTCCTGGAGTTTCTAAGTTGGAAGTTCAGGGACTGCTGAGCTTCCCCCACAAAACACACACACAGCCGTGCACACACACACACACTCACACACACACGCTGACCTCTATTCTTGCTCTGGAGGGACCACACACACGATAAGGCGTATTTGGTGGCTCTCTTCAGCAATCACAGACTTTTTCTTTGGAGGGTAGGTGTGGTTTGGGGAACAACCAAAAACATGTAGAGGAGAAAAGCCTCAGCGTGTAAAGCAGTGTCCACAGTGTGACAGCAGACGGACACACCCGAGATGACCCCCCCTCCCCCCGCCGCAGGCCTTGTCTGTGTAATTCCCTCTCCTTGGGTGTCGCAGGCCCTGTGTCTTGCTTCTCACCAACAGAACGTGGCAGTGGTGACAGGAGTCCCTCCTGCGATCAGGTGACGTCATTTGGCGTTTACATGTTTACAGCAGACTCCGTTTTAGCGGATGGCAGCAAGAGACCCCGACTTTGAGGGATAGGGACGTGCAGGGGGCCTGTGTTCAGAACTGCAGGGGCCTCTGGGAGCTCAGAGCGGCCCCCCAGCTGACACCCAGCAAGGAGGCCAATCCCTAGTCCTGTAAGGGCAAAGCACCAAAGGAGCCTGGAAGGGGACGTCGGGCTCCCATGAGACCCCAGCCCAGTGGACAGGCTGATAGAGGCCGGTGAGCTCTGAGCAGAGGGCAGCTGGGCCTTGGGAGCTGTGAGACGAAGTCGGGTGTTATTACTGCTGAGTTTGTGGGGATTCGCTACACAGGAAGAGAAAGCTGGTGTGAGTGCTTTGCCACGTTATACCAGGGGGAACTGGGCCTCCTCTCCGAGTCTGTATGCATGGAGACTCCTGGAGGACACACAGGGAGCTAGTAAGAGGGTCCTGCCCTGAGCGTGGGCTGGCGATAGCCGGGCCTGTCTCTGTACCTCTCCTCGCTCTGCGGTTTCGCAACATATAAATGTTGAACCCTACTCGGAAGGTGAGTAGCTGGTAACAGTGGCGGCTAACAGTTACTGAGGACTATTTCAGGCACCATGGATGAAACAACTCGGTTAACCCTTACCGCCCCCCCCCCCGGGAGGTGGGGCTGCTATCCCTTGCATTGGACAGACAGGGAAACTGAGGCCCATACACTTCCATACTCAGTGTGCTTGGGCTCACGGACCCCTCCCCCGCCAGAGCTGGGATGCGGACGAACACGCTGGGCTCCGGGCCTGAGCCCTTCCCTGCTCGGCCCCCTTCGGCCGGGTCTCACAGGGCAGCGAAGCGGGAGGTGCCCAGAAAGCCGCTCTTGCTGCCGGGAGGGCAGGAGCCACTGCGGACGCTGGGGACGTGTGGTGGCGGGAGCCTCACCTGGCACGCCGTGAGTGCTGGCTAAACCCCCCATCAGAGCCCGACAGGCTCCAAACGTTATAACCTGCAGTTAACGCCCAACAGTCAGACCCGGGAGGAGGCTCCTTTACGTTCTGGACACTTCCTTGCGTTGACCTTTGTAATTGACATTCTATGCCTTAGCACCTACTCCTGTCCCTTCTCTCATTTCTGAGTCTCCTTTGATTAAAAAAAATGTTCTTTAAAAAGGACTTTACGTATCCCATGAAGATGGAGACGTTTCTAACCTTGTTATTTTACATATAGGAGTTGGGTTTCGTCGGCAGGTTCTTGAGTTTCTATATGTCATTATATTATTTTTGGAAGGCCATATGCAAGGATTGTCTCATAGGAACCATTTCTGATCTCAGGGTGTTTTTCTTTAGTTAATAGAAACCACGGTTTATAAATCAGGCATATGAAGATGGCATTTCCCTCAGCTTCCAGGGTGATGCCATGATAAAATCCACAGCTTAGGTCTTTATGCTTTTTCTTTTCTTTTTTTGGTCTGCTTTTCCTGAGGAGACAGCTCTCCAAACAACCTCTTCAGGAGATGGGAGACCTGTGTTCCTGCTAGCAGTACTCTCGTGCCCAGATGCCCCTGCAGAAATTTCCGTTGTTTTATGTGTCTCCCAACAGCGAAGTATCCTTCTTACATCGTCCCCGCCCCCACCTGTGTGGTTTTCATTTTATTCCTCTTCTCTCTCCCTTCCCCTTCCTCTAGTGGGGTGTCTCGAATAATGCTTATAAGGGTGGCAGAGCAGAGGGGTCCACACCAAAATTTCACTCCTGGGTTTGCCACTCTCTCGTTAGCTGTGTGTCCTTGGGTAGTTACTAAACCTCTCTGATGCTTAGGTTCCTCACTAGCAATGGGATCACCTCTACACCTGCATAGCATTGTTGTGATAGATGAAATCTTTTTTTTTGAAGATTTTATTTATTGGGGCACCTGGGTGGCTCAGTTGTTAAGCGTCTGCCTTTGGCTCAGGTCATGATCCTAGGGTCCTGGGATTGAGCCCCGCACTGGGCTCCCTGCTCGGAGGGAAGCCTGCTTCTCCCTCTCCCACTCCCCCTGCTTGTGTTCCCTCTCTCCATGTGTCTCTCTCTGTCAAATAAATAAATAAATAAATAAATAAATAAATAAATAAATAAATAAATAAATAAATGATTTTATTTATTTGAGAGAGAGACAGTGAGTGTGCAAGCAGGTGGAGGGGAGGGAGAGGCAGAGGAGAGAGAGACTCTGCTCTGAGCATGGAGCCTGAAGCAGGGCTCGATCCCACCACACTGAGATCATGACCTGAGCCAAAATCAAGAGTCAGATGCTTAACCGACAGAGCCACCCAGGCGCCCCTGGGATAGACGAAAGTCTTTACACAAGGCGGCCACTATGACGATTGTTGTGAGTAGTCCTGAATCAGCCCTTGGCACAGTGAGACTAGACTTCGGGGGAGCCTCCTCCATTGGATTGTCAGCGTGCTCAGTATGTCACCATGAGTCATTCTATGCAACCTGAACAGGTGTCTCAGGCCAGGCGCACACCAGCCCTGAGGTTGAACCCTTGTAGGCCTGGATAGCCCGGAATCCTTCCTTCTAGGGTGATATCTGTGCGTCTACCAATGGCTAGGGTCCGCTGAAGAAAATCCCAGGTGTTCAAACCATTACAAGTTTCCTGTGACTGGCTGCAAAGGTGAAGGCTGAAAGGGTTTGCAGAGAAAATATCGCTGGTCCTTTCCCATCTTGCTTATGTGTTTAAGGTACGGTGGAAAATTGAGGACGAGCTGGGAAATGTGTAAGTGCACACGCAGATCCCCTCACGTGCTCCACATGTAACTCTGAGGGACTTCAGGCAAAGAGGCCGGGAACAAGTCAATATGGCTGCTACTCCAGGCTCTTGGCCGGGTGATGGCTTCGCCCGTGCGTGCATGGGTAGACTACGTGGCTTTCCTGGCTCACAGGGACGGCCTTCTTGCCACAGCCCTGACACCCAGGAATGGTCCCTGGGCCTGGAAGTGTGTTCTGTGACCTGCCTCCCTGACCATGGTGGGCTGGTCCACAGGGTGACCACTCACCCCAGTTACCTGCCTTCTCTCTAGGGCTAGGAGGATTACGTGGTCACCACTGTCCCTCCCTTCCCAGTCCCCCATGGATACAGGAAGGTGGGGGCTGGCCACCGAGCTGTGATGTCTGACCCGGGCCTTAAAAGCAGGTAGGGGTTGTCTGGGCAGAAGAAGGGGAGGGTAAAAGGAATGAGCACCATGGAGCACTGGGGAGAAAGCGCAGAGACCTGGGAAAGCCAGGAGGCATATTCGGGGGCCAAGAGGTTGGAGAGGTGCCAAAAGCCAGACTCAACTTAGGGCCCCTGCTGGTGGGCTCAGCATAGGGTGGGGTCTGACATCCCCCGAGACCAGCAGCATCTCATCCAGCCACTGACCAATGCCCTTTGCACCCTGAGCAACGGAGCAGCTCGAGTGGACCACAGGCCTGGATTCGGAAGGCCCCCCGCCTCGCACCGCGCACCTGCCTCTCCAGCATCCAGAAAGTTGCAGTCAGCTCTGTGTCTCCCTGCCTTTTACACTGAATGTGCGTCCTTTGCTCTCCCTTTGTATCTCTCTGTTGGGGAGCCGGCAAAGCAGAGGCCCCTGGGGTGTTTTTATTTCCTGGAAGCTGAGAAAACTAACGTGTGCGATGTACTTTAGTGGGTAATCTTCAGAAAACCCATAAGTGTGTTATTTAAAAACCAGTTTCATTTCCTTTTAAACATGGCAAAGTCACTGGTCTGAATTCAAGGACTCCAGCATCTGAGGTTTGGTGTGGCACACGGGTCACAGGGAAAGAAAGGAAGGGAAAGGCAAAATGCTGTTTGGGTATTGAGACCCACAGGGAGACACCTGGTGGGTAGGGGGGAGCTCTGAGGGATTCCAGGGTCAGTTTCAAGTTAAGGAACCATTTCTGATTTTACCCTTCGAGCAAAGCCTCCCACTAGACCAGAGCCGTGTGGTCGGGAATACAGGCTCCAGAGTTCCCTGGGAATTACTGCAGGAGCCCCATCTACACATTCCCAATCCAGTAAATGCTCCCCGGGCCTCCTCTAATGCTTACTTCACGGTGGGGAGGGGCCAGGATGGAGTCTGGGTCACAGCCAGGCGCAGAGAGTGATTTGGACTTGCAGGATCTTTGAATCCTAGACTCAGAAGTCAGAGCCCGTCCTGTCTCACGCCCACTTGAAAGCCAGCCCCCTGCAGGGCCTTAGGTGCTTGCAAGACTTGGAACCAGCTTTATCCCTCCCCAGGGACACTCTGAGCACACTTCTCTCCCAGTGCACCTGGCAGTCCACCACCCTGACCGTGAGAGTCCAGGATCTCCCTTTCCTGGGATCCCAGCGCCTCCCACTGCACACCCCACAGCCTCAATGTCTTCTGTGCTGAGCTCCCAAACCCTAAACCTCACTCTCGATTGCCTATGGGTCTTTTCCTCCTTTTGCTCAGAACTACTCTCCCCATCTTCTCATATTTCAAATCTCAATTTTAAATGACACTTCCATGGGGAGCCCCTCCGTGATCCCTGGAAGATAGTGAGCCCCTGCGCCACCCCCGGCCAGGGTTACGGAGCCTGGCCTCCAGCGGTCCACACTGGCCACAGTTGGTGTGGCCAACTGAGCCACAGGTGGGCGATGACAAGGAGGCACGGGGCGTACCCGAGTGCTGAGAAGGATGGGCAGCCCCTTCCTGGAGGCCTCGAAGGTGGCCCGAGGAGGTGGACATGGGGGCTGGTGCCTGAAGAGTGGCTCTGAGTCAACCAAACAGGAGAGAAGGAGGATGTTAGAGGCAGAGGGCACAGGGCGAGCAGATAGTAAGCAAGGGTCTCTCGATTTAGGGGCTGACTTCAGGGTGCTTGGTGGGGAGCAGAGGGAGATGACAAAGGGCTGGGTGGGTCTGATGGGACCAGGGTTCATTCAATAAGCCGTTATGGAGAGCCTTTGACACACCAACTCCTGTCCGGGTTAGCCTCGAATCCCGAGGGTGCGGGTGGGTGCAGAGGGCAGACAGCATCCCTGGGGCCCCCCTGCAGAGTGATGCACATCGGGGGAGGGGAGACAGGCCGGCTGGTGCAGGGTGCTGGGGACACCTCCCAGGAGGCTGGAGGATGAGCTGGCGCCCAGAAACCTGGAAACGGTCCTACTAGAGACAGGATGGGCTGCATGTGGGGGCTGGGGAGGAGCCAGGGTCCTGGCCACCCGGGGCTTTGCCTTAAAAAAACAGGCCAGGATGGTCTGGGGAGGGGCAGTTTGGAGGGAGTGCACCAGGACTGTGATGTGAGCCCGAGGTGCCTGCTGGGGAGGGCTGGCCAGAGGAGGTGGTCGATGGCTGTGCATGGAGCTTAGGGACAGTTCGGGGCTGCTGGGTGTTAGAGCCACGGGGAGGCCACAGGCTGGCCAGGCTGGCAGAGAGGAGAGGCTCAGGCCGGGCTGGCAGAGGGAGCCCCACCCATGGAGCCAAGCAGGGGGGCCAGGGAGGCTGGGGCCCCAGAGCCGGGAGAGGAATGGGGACCAGGGCCTCAGCGGCCCTGAAACACCCTCTTTGTCTTCCATGATGTCACGGTTCCTGGATCTTCCCCACCTTTCCCTCAATACATTCCTGGACAGGAAGGGTTTTTTTGTGGGGTGGGTGGACACCCATACATACGAGGGGACAGCAGTAATAACTAATTGTCTGCTCCTGGCACTGTCCTAGCTGCTTTCCCCCACTGACAGCCTCCCAGAGGCAGGCGGTGCAAATATGCTCATTGGGCCATTTTACAGATGACAAAACCGAGTCATCGAGAAGCTGGGGGGCTATCCCGAAGCCACATAGCAGGCCTTGGTGGAGGCAGGACCAGAACACAGAGGCAAGGTCTCCTGAGTCCAGATCTGTTTCCCCCACACAGTGCTCGGCCGAGGTCCAGAATGAACAAGCCCCTGCTGAGAAGAGGCCGGGGTGGGGGGTGCACGCGGGGCCGCACCAGCTCGTGCTGGGAGCGCACCGCCGGAGCTCCGAGCCCGTCATCTCAGGGTTGCAGGCCACAGGTGACACGCGGGCTTGCCACCTGTGCACCTTGTGGACAGAGGTTTTCACGGCGCCTGAGACCCGTGTCTGTCCTGCAGGGAGGAGACTCCGAACATGGGAACCTTGGGAGGAAGGCGCTGGCTCAGCCTGGACGTTCACACCTCGGGGGAGAGCAGTATCTTTGCTTGGGGTCTTTTCCCGCTTACAGTTTCCCCGCGATCCTAACCTGCAGGAAGCCTCTAGGCTGTTTTCCCCTTGCACTGGAACCCGCCCCTGCACACCCAGAAACTCGTTCGTTCCGCGTGAAGAAAAATGGCACCTAATTAAGATTTGATGTGCTTTTGCCGTTCTTTGAAACTTATTTCCCTCTGCAGGTTAATAATCTCGATCAATCACCCCTTTCAGGGCAAATAATTCGCTCTGGGAGACAGTGGCAGTTTGAATTGTACCTGATTTACCTTAAATGGCTTTGAACTTTTAAAACATCCCCCTTTAACTGTGGAGTTGAAACAGCTCAGAATCCTTATAATGATTGTAATTACAGCTGCGGTTTAGTTAGTGCCAGTGACGTTCTGGACTTTTCACATCCATCCTGTCTGCTTCCCAGAAAACGTCTGCAAGCCAGGAATTATGAGAGAGAGAGAGAGATCTTCATTAGGGAAATATATCTCAGAGAGATTAAATAACTTACTCAAGTTCACCCAGCCGGCCAGATCTGACCTAAGATTTGAATCAGGCCTGTCTGCCTATGCTTCCTTCACTGCCCACAGAGGCTCTGATTCAAGGATATGGGAGCCAGGGAAGATTTAATCTTGTCCCCCACCCCTCTGGCTTTGTGGGTGAGCATACCCGCCCTCCAAGGGGAGATGGGGACAGTTGCAGAGTTCTAGGAAGGGAAGTGAGGGTTCATTTCCCTCCCAAGCTGTGCAGGATGACTGAGGGGATAGGAATGTCTGTGCTTGGAGGGTGGAGGCAGAGAGGAGGGAGGCTGGGGTCAGGCTAGACCCAGATGGACTAGAGACCCATGTGCAGGGGGTGCCAAGGAAAAGGAGCGTGCCTGGAAGGGGACAGGTTGCTGGCAGGCTCAGAGCAGCAGAAAGAGCAGGCTGGCGGGGGCCACCAGGTACTGTCCCAACAGCTTCTGCCCCATACCACGCCCCTTCCAGGTTCCTGCTGGTTTCACTTGCCTTGATGTTACAGGTGCTTGTAGCCCGGGGGTGAGCGTGAGCTTGGGGAATTTGAGGGACTGCTAGGGTCCGGTGTGGCTGGAGTGACTGGTGAGGCCAGCAGGGGAGGGCGCGAGCTCACAGAAGTTCTCCATCCTGGGGCTGATGAGTCTGAGCTGGGGAGGCATATGTGCAAATCTGTGGCCTCGTGCTGAATGAGCTGATGGAGGCAAAGGCTAGGGGCAGCGGGGCCAAAGGAGTTACTGAGGTGAGAGAAGTATTGCAGATAGCAACTGACACCTGAAGAGCCATTTTGGAGTGGGACCTGGGGACAGATCGTCCGTGGGGGTGAGAGCCAGCTCAGGGATGATCCCAGCCTTCTGACCAGCGTGGGTGCTAGGCCGTTCACCCAGGTCCAGATGCAGGAGGAGGAGGGGGCTTGGGGAGAAGCAGGGAATTCTGTTTGCTTCACCTGGGGGTGGTCCCCGCAGACTGATACCTAGAGAGTTCCGGAGAGTTCTCTGCCATAGAGATACGGTAGCAAATGGTCATTTCCCTCCCCCAGTTCAGGCAAAATCCTAACAGCCAAGCATCATAACACTGAGAGCAGTATTAAAAAGATTAAATAAATAGGGGCACCTGGGTGGTTCAGTCCGTTGATCCTGGTTTTGGCTCAGGTCATGATGTCAGGGTTGTGAGGTCGAGCCCCACGTCCAGCTCTGCACTCAGCTTGGAGTCTACTTGAGATTCTCTCTCTCTCTCTCTCTCTCCCTCTGCCCCTCCCCTCCACTCACACACGCTCTCTTCCAAATAAATAAGTAAATAAATAAATAAATAAATAAAATCTTAAATAAATAAATAAAAAGATTAAATATATCAATATATTTAAAATATGTATAGTTTAAGATATTTATTTAGAAGTATTTATATTTAACATATCATATATTTTATATTAATACATATTACAAGTATATAAATATTAATATTAAAAATTAAAATTTAAAACAATATATTTAAAAAAACAAAAACAATATATATTTTTAAAGATTTTATTTATTTATTTGAGAGAGAGAGAACACACAAGTGGGGGGAAGGGCAGAAGCAGAGGGAGAAGCTAACTCCCCGCTGAGCAGAGAGCCTGACGAAAGGCTCGATCCCAGGACCCTGGGATCATGACCCAAGCCAAAGGCAGACGCTTAACGACTGAACCACCCAGGTGTCCCTAAAACAATATTTTTAAAAAACCTCTGGACGCAATTTGGTTCCTTTGCCCTGAGTCTTGGATTGGCACTACTCTGCCTAATCTGACGCTATTTGTTTAATCCTAGGCCTGCTTTATTACCTGTTATTATTTTTTTTACTTGAACATTGCTGACACACAATGTTGCAAGAGTGTGAGGTGTACAGCATCTGGCAAGTCTAGACGTCACATGATGCTGGCCCCGAGCGCAGCTCCCATCCGTCACCGTGCATCTCTATCACGATGCCATCAGTTCTACTCCTTCTACTGTGCCTTTCCCCTCCGTGACTTAGTCATTCCATCGCTGGAAGCCTGGACCAGGCTCCCTTCCCCCGTTCTGCGCATCGCCCCTCCCGGTTCACTTCAACTCGCTTGTCTTGTCCTCACTCCATGCTGGGGGCCTCGTCCCGCTTTGACTCACTCAGAGCAGATGGGGACCCACTTCCTCCAGCTGATGGAAGTTTCCTCTGTCCTTCCACTTAGCGTGCTTGCCCGTTGATGCTAATTGACGCAAGATACTTTGTATCTTTGGAAAGTAGGTGAGCTCCTGGTGGTGAGCTCCCCAGCTCTTCTCCTGTCACCTTTGGACTTTCATTCCAGGTTGCCCTGGACCAGGTCACCCCCACCCCACCCCACCCCCACTGCACCGCAACTGACACCCAGCCAGGGCTGTGCTTTACCCTTGGCTCTTCCCTCCGCAGCCTGGCCACCTGCAGGGGGTTGAATGGTGGCCCCCCAAAAGATATGCCCACATCCTAACCCCTGGAACCTGTGAATGTGACCTTATTTGGAAAGGGTCTTTGCAGATGTAACTAAGTTAATGATCTTGAGATGAGATTAGCTGAGGGGGCCCTAGATGCAGTGACAGAGAGCCCTTAGAAGGGACACAGAGGAGAGACAAAGCAGGGGTGAAGGGGGGAGGAGGTGTGGTGGCAGAGGCAGAGACTGAGCACTGGCAGCCACCGGAGGCGGGAAGAGACAAGGAAGGACCCCACTCCCACCCCCCAGAGCCTTCAGAGGGAGCGCCACCCTGCCCACGCGGGACTGGGGTGCCCCGGCCAGACGCACAGCCGGCATGGTCAGTCCCAGGCATTAGGAAATGTGGAGGGGAATGCTAAGAAATGCAGGGCCCCCTGAGGCAGGGGCCCCACTTGCCCGAAGGCTCTGAGGGCGGTACTGACTTTGGCCTCCATTCCCTCACCTGTCAGCTGGGAATAATAATACCCACCAGGCTGTGTCACTGTGCAGGGCAGCTAAGGTTCTGCAAGCCAAAGAAGCCCACCAATGCTCAGGCACGCTCTCAACAGGAGGTGTTCTTACAGAGTTTGAACCACCGTACTCAAGCAGTACTCAAATAAAAATAATAATAACAAGTAATAAATCAGGCCTAGGATTAAACAAATAGCATCAGATTAGGCAGAGTACTGCCAATACAAGACTCCGTAAGAACACCTCCTGTTGAGAGGTGTTTTTGTTTTGTCTCTCCTCTGTGTCCCTTCTAAGGGCTCTCTGTCACTGCATCTAGGGCGCCCTCAGCTAATCTCATCTCGAGATCATTAACTTAGTTACATCTGCAAAGACCCTTTCCAAATAAGGTCACATTCACAGGTTCCGGGGGTTAGGATGTGGGCATATCTTTTGGGGGGCCACCATTCAACCCCCTGCAGGTGGCCAGGCTGCGGAGGGAAGAGCCAAGGGTAAAGCGCAGCCCTGGCTGGGTGTCAGTTGCGGTGCAGTGGGGGGGGAGGGGGTGACCTGGTCCAGGACAACCTGGAATGAAAGTCCAAAGGTGACAGAAGAGCTGGGGAGCTCACCACCAGGAGCTCACCTACTTTCCAAAGATACAAAGTATCTTGCATCAATTAGCAAAGGAAACTCCGTGACGGAGGTTCGGTTTGTACACACAAAGGGATGTGAACATCGATTCTGGAAAATCACTGGGACAACACAGAGTAAAAAAAAAAAAAAAAAAAAAGCCACTCAATGGCTCTTCTGATACGCATGGACACGTAGTAGAAAGTGGAAAAATAAAAATCTCTTTCCTAGAATCCTAAAATTGTCTTTCTTTGGTTTTGCTGGGGATTGCACCAAATTTCCTCGAAGCTCTTTCCTGGAGTTTTCATGGCAGGATGGGGGTGGCTTTGTTCACTGCTGGAGGAAAGTGATGGGGGACAACGTGAGCCCTCAGGAGCCCGGAGCCCGGGACAGAGCCAGCAAGGAGGCTATCAGCACCGTTTCTGCAAGTGGTGGTCTCTCAGCCCTCCTGGGGGGCTTGGGACCACCTGATTGCCATTGTCTGTGATGGCAATTGCCAGAGGAGAGCAGGATCACTGAAGCACATGAGGGACACCCCGGGGCTCAGCCCAGCTGGTGTGGACAAAGGGGCAGCACCCCCTTGCTGAGTAAGTCCCTCACCCACCTCGCCGCCCCCTCCAGGCTTGCCCTTCTGATAGGAGTCAAGTGGGACCCTCGGAAGCAGGCTTCGGGGGTGCTGCCAGGGGCCTGTTTCCTGGGCTCACCCGCCTTGTCCATGCCTGGGCTCGCCCACCCGCTCACTAGTTGGAAAAGATCTAGATGCTTGGAGCATGCAGGCTGCATGGGAACCTGGCAGGGAGTTTCCAAGTGCCCTGCCCTCTTGGGATGGGACACCCCACTCCCACCCAAGCCCCTTTGAGCCCACGTCTGGGGTCAACCAGTTGTGTGGGCAGAGGGGGGCTCTTTGGAAGAAGCAGGACAGAGTGGCCCTGGGCCCCATGTCCCTTTGGATCCCAGCCCCAGAGTTCATCCTGGCCCTAGGCTGGCAAAAGGTCTAAGGATTCTGGGAGGGACTGGTCAAGCCATTCTCCCTCTAGGGGAGCGCGGGCCATAGAGTCACAAATCTCCCAGGGCAGGGTGCTCTGTCCCCGCCTGAACTTCCGTGGAGTCTTAGAGCAGACCCCCCCTCGCCCCCCCGCAGCTGCTCCCTGTGCTTCCAAGGCTTCCATCCTTCCTCCATTCCTGTCCCGTGGGGGCAGACAGGCCAGGTTCCATGCTGAAGTCCCCTGTCCTTGCTGAGGGCACCAACTCTGGGACCCTGGCTGGAAAATCTCATCGACCTTTAGAGGGAGCTCCCAGTGCTGGGGCACACCCCGTCAGCACCTTGGAGGGTCCCAGAGAGGGCTCCCCCGCCCCTTGTTTGCCCTGGTCTGTGAAGGCAGGCACAGGCCAGAATGAGCAGGGAAGGAGGACCCTGTTGTCCCTGTGACATGCTGCCCCACCACTAACAGCCCCCTAACTCTGTGCCTTTATCGGGAGCCATCACCACCTCCAACCCCTCCACCGCCTGCGGTCAGGGGAGCTGGATGCGAAGAGAGTTGGGGGCCCCGAGACACTGGACGCAGTGCAAGCCATCCAGAGCGAATCCAGCTCAGAGGAGCAAGGGGACACCAGCGGAAGGGACCAGAGCCCCCAGTGATGTGGGGAGGAGTCCAAACAGGCTCAGAGTTGTGCAGGAAGGAAGGTGGGGTGAGGAGGGTGAGAAAGAGAGTCCCCCGAGTCCGCCCGTGCTCACGCTTACATGCTCTGTCCGCTCCTTCTTTTGCTCCTTCACCCTGTGCTCAAGGACCCCCGAGCCCCCCCCGCCCCGGCGCCAGGCCCTGTGTCAAGGATGCTGCCCTGTGCAGGAGCCCTCTGGGTGGTGGGGCTACAGGTAACGGTGTGAGTGCGTGACTCTGAGGTGGGCCGTGGAGGGGACGACCAATGCCACGCCCGGAACAGTGACATTCAAGCCGTGTTTTGGAGGATGGACTGAGAGCCATCACCAATCTCCCCCAAGTGCTTGGGTCCCCTCGGACCTCTCTCTCACCCCAATGCCAACGACATTCATCATCTGCTCCACGATCCAGCGCCGAGAGCCGCAGAATCCTGCCATGGGCCGCCTCCCAGCCAAGCCAGGACTCCCCTCTGCGGGGCCCTGCGGCATTGCTTGCTACGAGTCCCCGGGCCCCAGTGGAGGGCTTGCTCAGTGAATGTGCCCCCTGAGGAGTTGGCTCCTCATCTGGGGCTCAGAACAGCCTGCACTTGGCTTAACGCTCTGCTGTCACTGCCTTGACATCCTTCATCATTTTTGAACAAGGGGCCTGCATTTTCATTTTGCCCCGAGCCTGCAACGTATGTATCCCGTTCTGGCCCGGCCGTAACCCCTTACCTCCAATAGAGACACCTACAGATGCACTTCAGAGTTCTCAGACATAATTTTAGTTAATATTTCATTGTATTTTCTGGCCCAGCCGCTCACTGGCGTTATGACTGCCCCTGGGAATAAAGTTTCTGGCAACAAAGAATGTCCTTGTAAGATGTTCTTTTTATTAAGAGAGGCGATATTGTCAATGAAGAGTCAAACATGGGCACCGGATGAATTTGGGAGTGATTATTCCCACTAAGAGGAGGCTCTCATTTTTAGGAAATGATTCCTTATGGCATTCCTTTAAATAGCCTGCTTCCCCAATGCATTTTTTTTTTAAAGATTTTATTTATTTATTTGACAGAGAGATAGACAGAAGAGCACAAGCAGAGGGAGTGGCAGAGGGAGAGGGAGAAGCAGGCTCTGCACTGAGCAGGAAGCCCGATGCGGGACTCGATCCCAGGACCCTGAGATCATGACCTGAGCCGAAGGCAGACGCTTAACCATCTGAGCCACCCAGGCGCCCTTCCCCAATGCATTTTTAATTTGCTTCAACATATTAGAAATTATTTACATGCTGTCTTCTCGGGTCTATCCCCTCAGCCCCCGCGTGCCAAGCCCCCACCTGGAGGGATTGCACGCTGGAAATGTGGGCCCTCCCAGAGGAGTGTCACCTGGGGAGGGGTCACCCGCCTTGCCGTGAGCAAGAGGGGCAGTGGGGATGGAGCCGAGGGAGTGGGGGATGTTTTCCCCCAGCAGGCCGATGGAGCCTGCCCAGCAGGAAGCCGTATGAGTGGGAGCTCCAGGGACAGATGGGGACCCCGGGAGGAGGTCGTGTTGTGTGGCCTGGGTTGCCAGAGGGATGTGTCAGGAGAAGCTGTATTGGTGGCAGGGAGCAAGGGCCTTTGTGCTCATCTGAGGGGCAAGGCCATCCGGGCTGTGGGGGGCAAGGGAGTGTCACCCCCTAGCCAGGGTCCAGGCAGATCATCGGCTGCAGCCAGAAGACAGATCAGGACCCCCCAGCCTGGGGTTGCTGGCCGGCTGTGATGACCTGGAGAGCAGTGTGTGACCCATCTGGGGCAGAGGTGCTGGGCGTCAGGGACGGGGACCACTCTGAGAATCATCTCCGAGGCGGCCCCAGACAGGTGACCGAGGCCCAGAACTCGGGGGCGAGGCAGGTGGAGTTGAGGACAACCAACCGTTTCCTAACTCGGGCCAAAGCTGGAGCAAAGGGATGAGCGTGGGCGTGAAGGCATGACACAGCAATCCCGTGGGGACACGAGGGCCTGGCACAGGGCAGCGTCTCAGGGCTTATTCTGCTGGGAGTTCCTGGTGTGGGGGAGGG